TCTTCTACTCCAGATTGTATCCCATCTAGTGTTGATTGCTTTGCAGGAGATGTCGAAGAGCCAATTTGTTCACTCGCGGTAGAGTCCGAAGAAGTTTTAGTGGATGAGATGGTGAGGGATGAGTGTTTTAAGGCGAATCGTGAAGGTTATTTGTGCAATTCGATGGAGGCTAGGTTATCGAAATCGAGGATTCGTCTCGGGTTTGATGGTGGAATCAAGGAGTATGAAGAAGGGTTTGTTGAGTCTAACTCTGAGCTTGATTTGTTGATAAAGCTTTGCTCTGAGAGTAACAGTGGAGAGTGTAGTTTAAGCAAGGATGATTCGATTCAATGCCCATTGTGTTCAATGGATATTTCAGCTTTGAGTGAGGAGCAAAGGCAAGTTCATAGTAATGAGTGTCTTGACAAGTCAAACAATCAGGCTACTGAACAAGTAAGCTAAGCTTTAACTCTCTCAGAGATTCCTAAAGTGTAGGGATTTTGTTCAGTTTTACTTCACTACTCCATTGAGTGACTGCTAATTTGTGAATTTGATTGTAGGACTCACTGAGGAAATGTGGGAATTCATCTTCTTTTATTGAAGAATCTGTTGATGATCCAGTTGAGGTTCCTCAGCTAGTTAATGACTTGTCTCCAGTGCTTAATTGGCTAAAGAGTTTAGGTTTAACTAAATATGAAGATGTTTTTATTCGTGAAGAGATCGACTGGGATACCCTTCAGTCACTTACAGAGGAGGTAATGGAATATCAAAAAATTTCTTTATTTATATGCGTGTGTATAGCTTACTTGTTAACAGAGACAAACAGGGTTGAGAATTGATGAGAGGTTATCTATCATTCCTCAGGATCTCCTAAGCATAGGTATCACGTCACTTGGTCCTAGAAAGAAGATTGTGAATGCACTTAACGCACTTAGAGAAGCATGCACAAGTAGCCATGTTACAGAGAGACAGAGGGACACGCCAACCAATCGTAAGGCAAGTGAGCCTAAAAAACCAACTGCCAACAAGTTGATTACAGAATTTTTCCCTGGTCAAGCTACCGATAGCACGAAGATCCGGAAGTCCCCTAGAGAACCTGTCACAGAAAAGAGTCCATCAGATTCGGGCTGTAGACGTGCTGTGAGAAGAAATGGCAACAATGGAAAATCTAAAGTCATTCCACATTGGAATTGCATTCCAGGGACACCTTTTCGAGTGGTAATTCTCCATAACAAGCCAGGCCATGGTTTCACTTCTTTGTTCTTCTCATTCAAGCAAATATGCACATGAAAGTAGACTTCAAACTTCCTGCTGAGTCCTAGGTATTTATGTTTGGTGACTTTCTGGTTTAATATATGTATGCAGGACGCATTCAAGTACCTCGCACGCGATTGTTGCCATTGGTTTCTTACACACTTTCATCTCGATCGTAAGTAGTCTGGTGTTTGCCTAGTTACACCTACACAGAAAAAGCCTCATATTGTGGAATCAATGCTTAAATTCTCTGGATCCTCATTTACAGATTATCAAGGTCTGACAAAGTCATTTAGTCATGGGAAGATATATTGTTCTTTAGTTACTGCGAAGTTGGTAAATATGAAGATTGGGATCCCTTGGGAGAGACTGGAAGTCCTGCACCTTGGCCAGAAGGTTAATATTTCGGGCACTGATGTGACATGCTTTGATGCAAATCACTGCCCGGGATCCATCATGATACTCTTTGAACCAGCCAACGGTAAGGTGCGTTCTCAAATTAGACATTTCCAATGTGTAATTCATCAGCATATGTTCAACTTTCCATTCACAAGATAAATGGTCCATGGGCTGTGTTGATATGTGTAGGCTGTTCTACATACGGGTGATTTCCGCTATAGTGAAGAGATGACAAACTGGCTGATGGGTTCGCATATCAGCTCTCTTATCCTTGATACTACATACTGTAACCCCCAGGTTAGTCATGCATCAAAGAATCAGCTTTGGTCCTGTTGCCATTTTTGTTCCTTAGGGAGATGGAAAGCGAATTTTGTATAATTGTATTGCTGCAAATGACATCATTTGTTGCAGTACGACTTTCCAAAGAAAGAGGCGGTAATACAGTTTGTTGTTGAGGCTATTCAAGCAGAAGCCTTCAATCCCAAGACCCTTTTCTTAATAGGAAGTTACACCATCGGTAATATCTTCTCTCTTCTTTTCCTGAATCGATAAATCATGTTGAGACCAGCTTATCCATGTATCTCATTTCTTTCATCTATTTTATTTTGAAAGGAAAGGAGAGGCTGTTCTTGGAAGTTGCGCGTGTGCTACGCGAGAAAATCTATATCAATCCTTCAAAACTAAAACTCCTTGAATGCTTGGGATTCTCAAAGGAAGATATGCAGTGGTTTACAGTGAAGGAAGAGGAGAGCCACATTCACATTGTGCCCTTGTGGACGCTTGCTAGTTTCAAACGGTTGAAGCATATAGCTAACCGATACACAGTAAGAAACACATCCATTCGATTTGACTGTTTTGGCTGGTTTCTTTAGAAGATGAATTCTTAGGCGAATTTTCTGTCCTGCAGAACCGATACAGCCTTATTGTTGCATTCTCTCCTACTGGCTGGACATCTGGTAAGACCAAAAAGAAGTCACCAGGAAGAAGATTACAACAGGGTACAATAATAAGGTAAAATTCGACATCTTCAAGTTATGTGGCATTGAGCTCAAAATCATGAGACGGAGAATCTTTACATATTTTTCAGGTACGAGGTCCCTTATAGTGAGCATAGCAGCTTCACAGAGCTAAAAGAGTTTGTGCAACAAGTGTCGCCTGAAGTTATCATACCGAGTGTTAACAATGATGGACCTGACTCTGCAGCTGCAATGGTGTCTCTGTTGGTTACTTAGATCTCTGTTTTACCTCGTCGATAAGCTCATCGGCTGCTCAAGTTTGCAAAAAAAATGTAAGATGTATAACAAAAGGCAAGCCTCCTCGGCTACCAAGTGAGCAGCGAGTGTCAAAGATGTATCATGTACTAAATTAATGTAGCAATGTAACCACATCATTTATGTATTGTTATATCAACTTCTTTGGTCTGATTCAGATGAACTAATATTATATTGATCACAAAA